TAATAATAATAATAATAATAATAATAATAATAATAATAATAATAATAATAAAAGTTGTTTAGGTTTAAAACTACCACTGAACTCTGCTGTTTCACCACTGAAGGCGAACAGGAAATTCCCAATTTGCGTCTATATTTGGGAATACTGTGGTGACCCATATTGGCAGAGGACACTACCGGGATATTTGGTGTCAACACCAGCTTGGCCAAGCAGCTTGGAATCTGTTGCTTACCTGTAGCTGTTTCCAGCGTGTGTTGATCTGCTCCAGTGCCCGTGAATTCTCCATGGTCAAGTGCACATCAGAGATTGCTAACTGATGCGCAAGGTCGTTCATGACCTTCACTCCATCTTTCAGGGGGGACAGTTCCTCCTTGAACAACTGGAGAGCCACCGCCACCCCGTCAAAAGAAAAGCAGCAGAGGGATGGAAGCAGGAAGAGAGAATGAAAGAGAGAGACACACACACCATAAATTATGACCTTCTCATGTGCAGGCAATCTGCCATCCTCCAGATGTTCTGGACTATAACGCATATAATCCCAGACCGCAGGTCATGCTTTGTGGGAATTCCAATACCAAACATTTGGATGGATCATGGTTCCTTACTCCACCTTCATCATAGATACACAACTTGGATAAAGACCAGTAACTGTTTCTGTTAGAACTGGTGGAGCAAGAGAGGGAAAAGCGTGTATTTTGGACTTTTACACCCTAAACACTGGATCACATTGCATAAGGTGCACTCAATGTGATACATGTGAAAAATAATTTGGGAAATCGGGAGGAAGGGCAAAGACTTCATGACTTGTGGCTTCCTATAACTGATCTCATCAGGACAGCAGAAAGTTGATTAAGTGTTTAGTACACCTGGAATGTTTTGTGATGTAATCACATTGAGTGTATATCACTATATGCAATGGGGTAAGTCTGCCATTTGTAATCCTGAAGATGACAGGATGTGTTTTCCTGTCAAAAGCTTGATCTTTTAAAGTTTTATTAAAGTTTTTACATGAAAGCTCAACCTGTGAATCTTTTTGAGCCAATTCAGTCTGTTCGACTGGGACTGGTCAACTTTTTCTATCATGCTCCAAGAAAGCAAAAAGGTGTTCAATTCCTATTAAAGCCACAGGACTGTTCTTTTTCACCACACTAAGCTGGAAACAAAGGCTGACATTGTGTTTCACTCTGTACCTCCTTTTCCCTGACACTTGAATTTCTAACCTGAGGAATAATTCCATATTAACTGAAAAGGTTGCTCACAAAAGTAGGAACACTGACTGAACCAATTAATGGGATTATGTCTCATCTTTGTGCATTTGAATATGTTGCATTCACTCATGGGGATGCAAGGTTGCTCTGACCATATGCAACAAATGGACATTGCCTTTGTTCCCCTACTGTAACCTTCCAGGCCATAAATATGTCCGGGATGAAACTGTGGAGGAAAGCTACCTTGGTGGCCTGGATGTGATCTGGCAAAGAGTCAATGAAAAGATCTCCAATCGGTTCCCATGTCTCTCGCACACTTTCAGCTTGGTTGAGGGTGGTGCTGAGGTCCTCCATGGCGCCCTTGATCTCCAACAGCTGCTCCAAGGTCCTCTCAATATGGCGGTGTTGGTCAACACAACGGGCAGTGAGTTTTTCCCAGAGCTCACTAGCCACAGTGGCCTGTTTCCACACAAATCGACTGATGTTCTGAATCCGGTGTCTTGGGGAGACATCTGGAAAGGAAGAAGCGAGCAGGATGAGGGATCGCCACCAATGAGTGAAACACCCAAGAGATGAAATTTCAGCAGCAACAGGAGGGACAGCTTTGACAGAACAAGAGAAAATGAAGAGCAGAATGAACTGTGCTTGGAAACAACACCTTTTGAGCCGAAAACTTCCAGAATCTCATACTTTCTTCTCAAGACCAAGCACACATAACTGCCTTAATGGTTCCTCACAGGGCTTGGTTGCTTCCAGAATCTCATACTGTACTTTCTTCTCAAGACTAAGCACACATAAATGCCTTAATGGTTCCTCACAGGGCTTGGTTTCCAGACCCTTCACTCTTGAAGTTGCCCTCCCCTGGACACGTTCCAGTAAGATGTTGTACATGGAATGTTCTTTGCCTCATACAGCACTGATGTGCTCTTAATTAATTAAAACAATATTATATCCTGTTGAAGGTCATACTCACATTATCCTCTAATAAGCTCTTGGAGAAGTCAAGGGATGGGGAGATTATAGGATCTTGCCAAGGTGACAGAGGAGGCTGGACAGCCAACCAGGAACAAAATAAGCAAATTAACACATTAATTCCATTGCCCTGGAAGCCCTTTGTGGTTGTAACTGAGTGGGAAGTGAAAAGACTGTTAGAAAGCAAAACACAGAATCAAAATTGTTCAGAAGTGCAAACCTTTGCTGTCAGGATTTGAGTCTTCCACTTCTTCAAATGGGTGCTGAGTCAAAAAGGCTTGTGCTGACTCCAAAACTGAGTAAATATACGGACCTCGGGACTTCACTTCTTCCATGAATGCCTGGGTGGTGAGAGAGAGCCAGGAGAATTGGAAGGAGAGCAAAACTACTGTTGCCAAAAAACCAAAACAAAACAAAAAAGGAACTTCCCAAAGTTCTGATCAATTCACATCCAGACAAAATTTTTTTTCCTGACAGAATCCAAATGCATAGTATTCAAGGTTTCTTAAGTTACTCTGGCATTGGAGGCAGAAAATGCATAAAAAGGGTAGCAAGGATCTTCCCACAACAAAACCTGCACATAAGGGGAAGCATGTAAACAATATTCACAGTTTTCTGGTTGTCTATCACGTGCCCAACACAGAACCAAGTGCATGGCTATAGTGCCTTGAGAGTGCGGGCTTCTGCAGCACAAACCCAGTGGGATTCTGGCCGGTGAATACATGCCTGATATTTTGGCGGCTGCCTTGCCCTGCCCAGCTGTCAGAAAGGTGACCTACCGCATGCCTCTCCTTCTCCTGCTGCACCAGGAGGACGTCTCCACGGAGCGGCAGCTGAGCAGAGAGTTCCTCATCTTTCTGGCTGAGCCAGTCTATGATTTCTTGCAGGGGAACCTGTAACTTGCCGCTGTGGTCCGAAAAGGCCTCCAGACGAGCTCTGAGGGAACAGAGGAGGGTTATAGGAAAGGAGGCGAAGGGGAAGGAGCCGCTAGAGGGCGACCAGAGGTTACAAAGCTCAATGCCAAGAAGGTCGGAAGAACACATTGTTTCAGATCCATTGACTCCCAAATCTTTTCTATCCATTGGCTTGCCTAGTGTGGTGTTACCTACATCTTGATCTCAAATTGGAGCACATCACTCAGAATTCCCAACAACTGACCCGCTGTGGTTTTGTAAGAGTCGCAGCCTAGGAACAGCTGGGGACCAAATTCTGGGAAACCCTTGGTTCATACATCAACTGGAAGCATCCCTCCATGATTCCATTTGGTTGCCCACCAGCCCTTCCAGAAGATGACTGAACCCAGGACCTTTTCTGTGCAAAAAACGAGTTACATCCTTAAGAATCAGGTGCCTCCCTTTCCCCCAACTCCAAAGCCCAAGCAACCTGGCCTCTTGCCTTACCTTCTTGCTTTGGAACTTGACCCCCCAAACTGTCCTTGTCCACACCTTCTCTGCCTTGAGGCTTTTGAAGTTTGACTTTCCTGAACCAGACCAGACCTGAATGTCGTGTTTTGGCCTACCTGCCAAAGATTCTCCCTTATGCAAGAAATGAGGAAGACTTCTTTGCATTTGGCACCCTAAGTGGGACATACCAGGACTTGGAAAGTTTACTTCTTGTGGTCTAAAAACTTCAGAATCCCCACCACCACCACAAAAACAGCATGGCCATACTCCTGAGGTACTTTCAAGCAGTTTTCCTTTTGACTTGGAACATAACCAACAGTGTGGTTGAATCTGATGTATCCTTGCTCTAGCCAAAAAGTTGGGGAAAACTTCAAGTGGGGAAAAACAGTGGCTCATCGTTCATTGATCAATGACCAAAGGATCCTTCTGCTTTCTCTTATGCAAGGACAAGTATTTTACAGAATCTAAGTTCAAGCAAACTTTTCATAGGCTCATAGTCAGTTTATATTAATGTACATCACTAAACCACAATCCTATCCTAAGAATGTTACGTTTTTCTACCACCCTTTGCTCTCCTCTCATTTTTGTGTCCAAATTTTCAAAATCAGCGATATATATTTTTTACAGAAAGGGAGGGAGGGAGGGAGGGTCATGTCGACAGAAGAACGCTGTTATGAGCTGCTGCACCTCCAGTTGAAATAGCAGTGATGATGTTCACTCTTCGGTGCATAGTCAGTTTATATTAATGTATATCACTCAACCACGATCCTATCCTAAGAATGTTATGTTTTTCTACCACCCTTTGTTCTCTCATTTTTGTGTCCAAATTTTTAAAATCAGCCATATATATTTTTTACAGAAAGGGAGGGAGGGCCATGTCGACACAAGAACGCTGTTATGAGCTGCTGCACCTCCAGTCGAAATAGCAGTGATGATGTTCACTCTTCGGTGAGAGGAGGAGGAGGAGGACTAGCATAGCAATGACAACAACAACAACACGGCCATGCTAGTTCAGAACTGCACGAACTGTAATCTAAACGAGTAACTTTTTAAAGCTCTAAAGGTTACCCCCTGCATGGAGAATTTTAGCTTCTACTTTAGCACCACCAGACTAGCTTCCACATGCCAGCTGAAAACAAAACCATGCATCTCTCACCGAAGGTTATGCGATTTCTTTTTAATCTCATTCCAGCACAGATTCATCTCCAGAGGCATCGGAGGCCCAATGGCACCGTTTGGAGGTTTTTGGCTCACACAGGCTGATGCAGCAGCATCCTGGGTTATTCTAACCTGAGCATAAAAAGAAGAGACAATGTTATCTAGGGGAAGGAGTGATCAGGCAACGAGGACCCAGCCAATTTTGTACGAGGGCTTCAGTCTTCCCTTAGAACAGGGGTTCCTGGAAGAGTTTTTAAAAAATCTTATGATTAAAGAAGGCATAAAAGATATTTTAGCTGATTAGCCCATTGAGTTTAGCTGATATTTCCACATGCAGTAAACTCTCTATCGTTGGGAGGACCCAACATATTTTCTTTATCTTTTTTTTAAAAAAACTACTTTTAAAAACCACATCAAACCTAAACAGAAAAAAAATCCTAAATGTAAACACAAGAAACAACCTTGTAACTCAACAGAACAACTGGAAGCTACAGAGCAGTGGGGCAGACATTGTGAATTGTGTTCATATCCTTCTGTCTTTCTCGTAGGACGGAACACAAAGTAGGAACTGAGAAGTATTGTAGAAAATCTCTGTAAAAATTATTACATGGGGCATCACTGGGAAAAGACTCTTTTAAAATCTTTCTCTCTTCGTTTGCACCTGCAAAAAACCCAAGATTTCTGATGAAAAACATTTCAACACCAATTATAAGCATATCTTTCTTTAAACATTAAGCAATTAAAAACCTCAGTGAAACAAAGAGCTACACCATTATTTGATATCAGTATTTCATTCAACTTTTCATTCCCCCCACCCCCAATAGGTCTGATGAAGTGGACTTGTCCATGAAGCTACACCTTATTTGATATCAGTATTTCATTCAACCTTTCATTCCCCCCCCATTGGTCTGACGAAGTGGACTTGTCCATGAAAGCTCACATTAAAATATAATAGTTAGTCTTTAAGGTGCCACATGTTTTGGTTTTGTTTTGTTTCTTTGGATTTTGCCAGATAAGCTTGCACAGACTAACATGACTAACTCTTCTAAAACTACAAACAGAATGTATCTAAAATGAGGCGGGCAGTATATAAATCAGTTATGTAGAAATTGGAAGGAAGGAGCTCATACACACAACCGTTTATACACAGAATTCCTTTTCTGTATTTATCAATTACTTTCATATCCTCCCTTTTCTCTGGTGCTGTGATGTGTGTTGCTCTCCTCCTATATCACCTTCATATCAATTCTACGAGGTAGGTCAGGCTGGCACTGGATCACAAAGAAATTTTCTGGCTCGGTGGGGACTAGAAACTGGGTCTTCCAATTTCCAGGCCAACACTCTTAAACCACTGCACTACCTCTGATACAGAATGTCCTGCGTTCAATCCAAGGTATCATTATCAGCTAAAAGGATCAGGTGTTGATAGACACCCATATTTGTCTGATACCCTGAATAAGTAGGACTAAATTTACAAATAGTCTACAAAGCCATTTCCCCACACATATAGTGAGAAGGAATGAGAAGTATAAAGGTTATCATAGGAGATGTTATAGTGTGTTAAAACACTGGAGGGTGGCATTTGGCTGGACTCCCTCCTCCACAGTTGGTTATTTCAGTTATGGTCCAGTTTGTTTATTGATTGATTGATTGATTGATTGATTGATTGATTGATTGATTGATTGATTGATTTGATTTGATTTGATTTGATTTGATTTGATTTGATTTGATTTGATTTTTACCCCGCCCCTCTAGACCATGTCTACTCGGGGCGGCTTACAAAATAAAAAAGAACAGTATAAAAATATATAAAATCACAAAAATTACAATTACAATTTCAATTCAGTTCCTGAATTTGAGTAAAAAGGTGATCTTACCAGTTGCAGGGGGGTTAACTCTTTTTTTATAACCAAAATCTCAGTGTCAATAGAGGGTAAAAAAAATTAAAGGACGACTGCTTCTTGGGAGGAAAGCGATGACAAACCTAGAAAGCAACTTAAAAAACAGATATATCACCTTGCTGACAAAGGTCCGCATCGTCAAAGCTATGGTTTTTCCAGTAACAATGTACAGAAAGTAAGAGCTAGACCATAAAGAAAACTGACCACGGAAGAACTGATGCTTTTGAATTGTGGTGCTGGAGGAGGCTCTTGAGAGTCCCCTGGACTGCAAGGAGAACAAACCTATCCATTCTGAAGGAAATCAACCCTGAGTGCTCACTGGAAGGACAGATCATGAAGCTGAGGCTCCAATCCTTTGGCCATCTCATGAGAAGAGAAGACTCCCTGGAAAAGACCCTGATGTTGGGAAAGTGTGAAGGCAGGAGGAGAAGGGGACGTCAGAGGACGTGATGGTTGGACAGTGTCATCAAAGCAATCAACATGAATCTGACCCAACTCCAGGAGGCAGTGGAAGACAGGAGGGCCTGGCATGCTCTGGTCCATGGGGTCATGAAGAGTAGTTATGGTAAAACAATTAGCTGGCTCCCCAAGGCAAAAACGGTTGCTGTATTGTAATATCTTGAGAGCTGAAGATGTTTACTGTATATTGCAATTTGTAAATATGGAGGTGGCATTTGCAGCTCTCGAATCTTACACACTTTGTAGATCCAATACCTTGGAGCTATAAACTTCTGGCATTCCAGGATCCTGGTGTGACAACACCTTATTCCTCCGAGCTTTGCAAAAATTTTAGTCAAAATGATGCTGTTATTGTTACAGTGGCAGCTTGCCAGATTTTAAATTACAAACCTCTGGAGTTACAATATGTGCAGGAATAATAGAATTTCCTATTGAAATTTTTTATTGCCGCTCCAGGCTATTGAAAAAGAGGCCATTTACAGATTGGGAGGGAGGTGTAAAAGAATTATAAATATAGGGAGATAAGACACATACAGTATACAGGCATTCAACACATCAACAGAGCAAGGCTTGATGTTGGACTACATACACCAGATATCAACAACAATCATGTAGCAGCACAGATCAACAGAGCAAGGTTTCATGCTAGACTACACACACCAGATATCAACAACAATCATGTAGTAGCACAGCAATAACAATCATCATGGGTCTTTCTCCATAGATTCAAACTGGTTCGGCTGGGTGAGCACTGAGAATAACTTTCATGTGTGTATGTCCTCCAAGACAAGGAGGAATACATATATACACCCTCAACCTGTGAGGATGTATATATGCTAATGGTATAAAAAGGTGAAGAAAGTTCAGTGGGGAGAACTTCTCATCCTAACTTTGTCTAGAAGGACACATTTATATTTTTTAAATGGTAGTACAATATAAGTTCATAGTCACAGAACTGAATTGCAACAAACTGGACAGTAATATTTAGACAGACCTCAAGAGGATAGATGTTCTCAATTCAATAATATTTGGTAAACTAGACACTTTCCTTCTTTCTGAAAACTGGGAAGACAATGTCTGAGCGGCAAAATTGTCTCTAAAGAGACAAATGGACTTGGTGCTTCACTCAACATTTCCAAGAGTAAGAGACTACCAGATTTACATCCCTAATCCAAAGTACATAAATTGCTTAAAGAAGTGTGAAGGGCAATACTGAATCAAACCAGAACCCAGTCTCGTCTTTGCAACCATATTAGCTGTGACTGGAGATTTCTAGGACTTAATAGTACAGTATATCTAGAGAGCATCAAGCACAGTTTTATCCTGTCCTGTGACCCATCTCTGCTTCAGCTATTGGATAACAGTGTAAACCAAGAGATAAATTTCCTTTATACCTTTTGGGGCGGATAGGAGTAATGGTTAATATTACCCAGATAACAGGTGATGCTGATCAAGAGGTTGTAATTCACCCTTTTTTAATCTAATGCACTACTGAAATTATTTTCCACCTTAGTTAATTAGAAAGACTGCCATGGATCTCTTTCTGCCTGCACTTCCATCGGGAAGGAGAGGGGATGCTCGGCTCTGATCTATGCCTGGAGACGGATCTGAGTAAAAGTTCAATTTTATAGCCTTTTCCAAAATAAAAGTCATCTGTCATCAGAGTTCTTGGTACATCCCTGTCATCTGTCTGGTGCTCAAGAGAGACGAACCTCTTTAACGAAGTAGTGCTATATTCGCAGAAAAGACCACTGAAATCAACATTTCTGAGTAGACACATACAGCTGCCCCCCCCCGTTTAGATAGTGCCTTAAAAATGGGAAAGATGACATCTATTCCATCCAGTTATCATGTGCCATCTTTGTATTTATAGATGACAACACAGGGGAGAAATACTGCAGTGCATAAATATAGTATATTTCATCATAGCAGTAATTATTGTGCCCTGGTGGCTGTGTGGCCTCCTCCTCCTATCTAAGGAGACTGTTTGAGGACCTCGTCTCTCTGTCTTAAGATGCTTTATGTTTAAAGACCTGTCCCTTTGGACAGAGGGACACCTTTAAAAGAAAGAGCTATTCTCCAATCACTCCTCAAATAGAAGACTGTGTTCCATAAAAAAAAAAACACCTCGCACAATCCTTCTGCATAAAGCATGTACTGTAAGTCTATTTAATACCTCCCATAGATTTGTAGTTTCAGCGTTTGGCTGAGCTCATTTCCTGCGCTTCCCTCCACAACACTTTGCTCAACTGTTGCCTTGGGAGTGAGTTTTGAGGAATCCAAACGCTTGCTTTCTGTCCTGTGACCATTTTATTGATCTTAGTACCGTCTGGATAGCTCCGTGACTTTAGGTATCTGGCTGTGCAGCCAGAGGGTACGAATTCGGTTCCTTAATATGAGTGCCAGGAGAGGAGCCAATCTGCGTGGCACCGGCCAGCCTGCACATTCCCAGGGCACTCGCCACCCCTGGAGAAAGGAATGGTTAACAACTCTTCTGTTTTTCTATAGTGAGAAAAACCTGAAAAGACTCACCATCATTCTGAGCTGACATTATTACACTGAATGAAGCACGACCCTACTATAGATATTCCCAAATGGCTACAAATGACTGTAAGCTACTTCTCCTTCACTGCAGTGTTATGGCATGTTCTGTTTCTGCAAGGCCATAAGTGGCTTGAGGCTTCGCTGTCCTATGGGTAAAGCTTAAGTCATATGTGATTGAGATATGGAGGAAGAAGAGGGGAGAAACGCCTGGGTTCCCTGCTACATCTT